TGCTGGTAGGTACCTTCCACGCTTTGCTTTGTCTTCAACAGAGCCCACCTCCCTAAACAAGTAGAAGGAGCCTGGAGTGTGACTTTGGAGCTCATCAGAGGGACGTTTAACTGTCCTTCTGCAGCTCACAAGCTCCGTGACCTCGCATATGTCACTCCCGCTCTCTGAGCCTCAGTTTCTTTCAGCAATGTGGGCACTTCCTATCTCAAAGGTTTTTGGGCAGCTTTTTTCAAGCGATGAAGGCAAAGTCCCCGCACAGTGCCAGGACGTGGTCAGGACTCGGGTTCACTGGCATCTCTTCATGTCACCTCCCCCACAAAGACCAGCAGAAGGTGCACTTACTGTGCATAGTGACCCCGACGACCGCTTCTTGCTGCCCTCTTCCCTGGATGTGTAGAGAGCAGGATGTGGCCAAGAAGGTGGGATCCTGGCACCGCCACTGGCCGTGAAACCTGGTTCCTGGCCTGTAAAGTGAGGAGCCGTAGTCAATGCCTGCCAGCTGGTTGCAAGGAGGGAGGAACAGGACAGGGAATGGCTGAAGCAGAGCCCTGGACGGGGAGGCACTGGTACTCTGTCCCTCCTCTGTCCTCCTGTCCTCCCTTCCTCAGGGACTGAACCCAGTCAGGCTGAGTGTCGACTAGTTACATGTTTCAGATTTCTCCTAGAATTAGAAACTTTTTCAAACCTAAGAAAACCGGGGCACTTGGGTGGCTCAGTCAGTTAAGCATCCAACTCTTGATTTCGGCTCAGGTCCGGTTTGTGAGTTCAAGTCCCGAATCGGGCTCTGTGCTGATAGTGCAGCGTCTGCCTGGAATTCTCTGTCTCCCTCTCTCTGCCCCTCCCCTGCTCACACGCACGCTCTCTCTCTCCCTCTCTCAAAAATAAACGAACATATAAAAAATAAAATCTAAGAAATCTCTATTAACTGAAATGCTTAGGCCAATGAGCTGTTCTGCTTTCTTAGCTCCCTAATTGCTGGCTCGCAACAGGGCCTGGAAGATAGCAGCCCTCGGTATAAACATTAACGTGATAGAAGGTAAAGTAAAAAGTCTCTTTTCCCCCACAGCCCTTCTTGTGAAGATGGTTCCAAAAGGCAGTGGTCCCTTCCTCCCTTTAGTAAAGAGGGTGTGGAAACTTCCAGGATGTTTCTTGCCTTTGAGGATTTGTAACACCTCGTAGTCACCACGCAGGCTAATCCGAGAGGATGTAGGTGTGGCACGTGCAGGAAATGAGGAGACCCTGCCTGCACCCTGGACATGTTCTGGCAACTACCTGCTTTGATTTTCCGTCACATCCTTTACTTTGGTTTGGTTTATCTCTGCCTCTTTCTTCTCACTGGCGCATACAGCCCCCTAGTCCTCTTGACGGGTTAATGAAGGCCCTGTCTCCAGCTGGATCCGGTTTTCCCGGTTGTCAGCCTTCAGTTCAGCTTTAATGTTGCCCTAAAACCGTGTGAAGGGTTATGAGTAAATGTGGGGATACGGTAGGATTTCAGAAACTCCCTGCAGTGCTGTCATCTCTGAGGTGCCCCAGTCAGTCCAGTGCGTGTCCTCACCAGGTGAGGACTCATCGTCAGGCAGCGTCTGGGCAAGAGGCCACCTCTCTCTGCCTTTCCCGTCAGCACACCGTAGATGTGGGCCCAGAGGGACTGCAGGAACTCAGGGTGGTGACTCCTGACTTTGGGGTGACTCAGGAACTGGCTTCAGACCTGGAGAGAGTGGTACCCTTGTCGCACAGAGTCTTCTACAGGCCCACGCCTCCCTGGTGCCCCTGCGAAGGGGTGTGTTCTGTCTGCAGCCCGAGCAGGAGAGCTTCCGGTCTGGCTTCAGAGCTCTCTCCCCGGGCTCTCTTGAGCCTTGGAAGGGGTCCTCTGTGGGGCAAAGGTTTTTGTCACCATGCACGGGCTCCGGGGGGGCTGCTGTGCCAACATGCACCGTGGCTCAGGCACAAAGGCGAGATCGCCCCAGGTGAGGGTCTGCATGCGCTGGCCCGAGTTGCTTAAATAGAAATAGAAAGTCCAGAAAGAGTCCCAGAAACACATAAATTTAGGACACAGCAGAGGTCACTTCAGATTGGTAGAGAAAAGACAATTCATTAACGAAATGGATAGCTTGCTGCCTAGGAAAAAAAATAACTGAATCCTGACTCTTGAACTTCACTTAAAAAAAAATTGTAGATTAAAGATTTAATGGTAAAAATGAAACTAAAATTACAGGAAGAAAATATGCAAGAATTGTTTTTAAAAATCTTGAAGAGGGGAGGTCTTTCTCAGCCTGACAGAACTAAGCTCTGTGGGATATAGGTACAGACCAATAGATTTCTGCATGAACAAAGCCAACATGAAAGTCAAAAGAGAAGTGACAAACTGGAAAAAACGAATGTCTATTTCCAGATAATAGATTAATTTCCTTACTTTTATTTATTTATTTTTGAGAGAGAAAAAGCACTTATCAGGGAGGGGCAGAGAGAGAGGGGAGAGAGAATCCCAAGCAGGCTCCACACTGTCAGCACAGAGCCCAACGTAGGGCTTGAACCCACGAACCGTGAGATTATGACCTGAGCCCAGGTAGGATGCTTAACCGACTAAGCCATTCAGATGCCCTGATTTCCTTAGTTTTTAATATATTTCTACAAATCAAGTACAGAAAAAATCAGTACCTCCAGAGATAAACACCCAAAGATATAAAGGGATAATTGCTGGAAAAGGAGCTATGGATGTCCCCACACATGTGGCCCCAGAGCGTATGGACAAGACAGCTGGGCTGAATCCCGGCTCCGTGCTTACATATGTGTGACCCTGCAAGTTGTTCATGCTCTCTAGGCTCAGCCTCCTGAGCTGTAAAGTGGAGGTAACGATAGTCCCTTTTATTAAATGGGTCACCAAGTCTAAAGCCTGTAGAACATGGAGTGGGGCAGGAATCACAATGTAAATACCTGACAGATAAGGAGCGCCTAGGGTGGCTCGGCTGGCTGGGCATCCAGCCATTGGTTTCAGCTCAGGTCGTGGAATCAAGCCCTACATCAGGCTCCGCCCTGAGCAGGGATCCTGCTTAAGATTCTCTTTCTCTCTCTCCCGCTCGCACACGCACACGTGCTCTCTCTCACTCAAGTAAAAAATATAAATAAATACTTCACAAACCCTGAAAAGGTGCTGGAGCTTCCCCTGTGAGTGGGGTGCTTTTACAATAGGAAGTGTGCAGTGATAAGCCATTTCTCTGCAATTGTTGCTGACAGTGTGACAAATCTAGCACTCGTGTCATTGATGGGAGTATAAATGTGTGTTAGACTTCCAAACACACATATCCTTTGACCAAGCAGTCTCTCTTGATAACTATCCCAGAAATGATGCACATATGGGGGTATTCATGCAGTACTATTTGTAAAAGCTGGAATTGGAAATAGTCATCGTGCAGCAGAGACCTAGTTAAATAATTTGTAATATGTCCCTAACCTGGATGATCATGCGGCTTTTAAAAAAAGAGGCAGGTCTAAATATCCTGATGTGAAGCAGCCTCCTGTATACCTGTACCTCGTTTTATTGTGCTCCGCTTTATTGCACTTGGAAGATCCTGCATTTTTTACAAACGGAAGAAGGTTTGTGGTAACCCTGCGTCGATCAAGTCTGTCAGCGCCATGTTTCCAACAGCATTTGCTCACTTGGTGTGTCTGTGTCGTATTTTGGCAATTCTTGCAATCTTCCAAATTTTTCTTTATTATTTTATGGTGATCTGTGATCAGTGATTGTAACTCACTGAAAGCTCAGATGATGGTTAACATTTTTTTTTAGCAGTTCTTTGTAATTAAGGTATGTACGTTTTTTAGACATAATGCTATTATATACTTAATAGACGAGATAGCATAGTAAACGTAACTTTGGTATGCCCTGAGAAACCAAAAAATTCACTTTACTCACTTTATTGCTGTGGTCTGCAACCAAACACATGAGATCTCTGAGGTATGCCTGTATATTAAGTAGTAAGAGTAAGGTGTTGAACAAGATGTACAAGAATTCCGTTTGTGAGAGAAGGAAACTGGCCTCAGAGGGACATCCAGAAAAGTGGTACCAGTTGCCTCTATGTTGGGGGGGGCGGTGCTGTGGCTGAAGGTGGGGCAGAACGCGTGAGTTTTCATGGATCATAATCTGAAAAAACTTACCTGATGACGCTACTGTGAGGCATAAAGCCTCATCATAGAGGTTGGGGACAGGGAGCAGCCAGGTCTTAGCCCGACCGCCAGATGTGTGGCCTCGGCAAGTTCCTGACCTCCCTGCCTCCTTTTCTGCATCCTTAACACGAGGATGAAAAGGATCCACTGCACAGGGGCGTGAGTGTGAACTGGTGTGTCCGGGTCACAAGCTCTGGGGCCTGTCATCTAGCAGGCAAGTGCACAGTGAGCACCAGACTTCCCTCTCCTCCCCGTCAGGGGTCAGGTTCATGGCCCAACTCTGGCACCCCCCCAGCTCCCGGGGCCAGAAGACTTTCTCTGACCTCTCTCCGCTTTGACACTCCTCTCCTCCCTGGGTTGAGGCTGGTTCCTTGGCTGACCACCTGACGTGGCTGTCGCAGCCTTCGAGTTAGGAAAGCATGTCTGTGAGGAAGCTTGGGCTGGTCCACCCGCCCTTCACCTCGGATAGTTGTGGAACCCGCCCCCGAGAAGCGTGTGGACACAGAGCAGGGCCAGGGCTGTGCCTGGACCTGGACATGCCGGACCCCGCCCCGGGTTCGGCTGTGGCCCGCGTCACTGCCCTGTGCACATTCGGAGTCCTGGCGCTGCCCAGCCCGCCGGGGGGCCACTCGGGCGGGAGTGGGCCGTCTGGGCAGACTTGTGTGCTGTGCACCTCGGACTCCTGCCTACACAAGACTCTTGCTGCCTGGCCCGGCCTCCCTGGGGAGCTCGGGGTCTCCGTCCCTCTCAGCGCTCGTGCTAGAGGAGGGGCCACGCAAGGCTGCCGTCAGCCACCCGTTCACGAGGGTGCTCACGTGAACCTCTTCTGCTTCCAGGGGCCTAACGTGATGGAAGAGCAAGACCTGCGGGAGATTGGCATCAGTGACCCACAGCACCGGCGGAAGCTGCTCCAGGCGGCACGGTCCCTGCCCAAGGTGACCGCTGACAGCTCGGTGGCCTCAGCCTGTGCCGAGACAGGGCCCTGTCCCCGACGCCACCTGGACCCAGAATAGGGAAGGAGCTTGGCTCCAGGGCATACAGATGGCCACAGGCTGTCTGTCTCTCATTCTGAGGGACACGGCGGGCAGCACAGAGGCCTGTTTACTTTCTTGCCAAATCCCCGGGCCCGGAGAGTCAGCAGAGACTAAGGACAGTTGGGGACCCGGTACAGGCTCTGGGGGGAGGCTCCAGACCCCTGCCCAGCACAGGAGCTGGTGCCCACAGGTTTGGCCTGTCACCTGGAGCCTCTTGGGGTCTTTCCTGACTCACCGGAGACCAGGCCAGCCTGCACCGACCCCTGACGTCAGCCCCTCCCCAGGAAAGGCAGAGAGGTGCTCGGGGCGGCAGGGGAGGCAGTTTTTCCCTGGGGGAGCCAGGGGCTGGTAGGCCCAAGCCTCTCCCCCTCGACTATGGTGGTGCTAAGTCCAGGGTACCCAGAGCTGGGGAAGCATGAACAAGTCCCAGCAGTGGGGCCAGTGCCTACTTCACAGGAACATACCATGTTGTCCCACCAAGTCTGTGACCTTGTCATAGCTCAGTGGGAACCCCTCTGCAAACCTTTCTCCCATCGAGCTGTACCCACTAGGGCCGTCTTCCCCAACCCTGGAATGCTCCGGTGACGCCAGATGGGGGAGCCGGGACCAGAGCAGTGGTACAAAGGGCTGTGTGAAGGGAGGAGACTCTGGTCCTCTGGACTTTTGTCCCATGAGTGCTGAGATGTCAGTCCTACTGCCCCTTCTTGCCCCACAGGTGAAAGCTCTGGGCTATGACGGCAACAGCCCCCCATCAGTGCCCTCCTGGCTGGACTCCCTCGGTCTGCAGGACTATGTCCATTCCTTCCTGTCGAGTGGCTACAGTTCCATTGACACTGTGAAAAACCTCTGGGAACTGGAGCTTGTCAACGTGAGTGCAGCCTCTGCTCAGGCTGGGCCTGACCCCCGAGGGTGCGGCCTGGGGCTGGGAGGAGAGCTGCGGGCGCAGGTGTGGCCTGACCCCTCCTCTCACCCCTGCCCAGGTCCTGAAAGTCCACCTGCTCGGCCATCGCAAGCGCATCATCGCCTCCCTCGCAGACAGGCCCTATGAGGAGCCACCCCAGAAGCCCCCGCGGTTTTCCCAGCTGAGAGTGAGTTGGGGAGGGGTGGAAAGGGATCGGTGGGTGTTCTTCATATTGCTAGGAATTAAAGAAAATTCTTGAGAGATTCTTTAGAGACACTATGATCTCTGTAGTAGAGGAGTGAACGATCCTTCCCCTCTTGTTGTTGGACCAGTTCTGCCCCTGGGCCCAAGGAGCACAGAGCAGGAGTTGTTGGGCTGGTCATTTATCAATTACATGCCTCCCATCTACATCAGAAGCTTGACGGGGCCTATAATAAAGGGTTCTGTTTAAATATATGTAGAAAGTAAAATGTTAGAAAAAGTAGCAAAGCAAATACCGAAATCCCAGCAGCTGCTGGTGACAGAGCCAGTGGGGCAGGCAGGGCGCAGGAGGAGCCCCCTTTCCAGCAGTCTGACGTGAACCTGAAACAAGGCTTGAAATCCACAGCGGGACCTGTGCCCTCCCCAAGTCTTTGGAAGGAAAATCCCTGCACTGGGGTGGGCTAGAGAACCTGTGGTTTTATTTATTTTTTTAATAAATTGTTTTTAATGTTTACTTACTTATTTTGAGAGAGAGAGAGAGAGAGAGAGCACAAGCGGAAGAAGGACAGAGAGAGAGGAAGACACAGAATCCGAAGCAGGCTCCAGGCTCTGAGCTGTCAGCACGGAGCCCGATGAACGGCTCGAACTCACGAACAGTGAGATCATGACCTGAGGTGAAGTCAGATACTTAACCGACTGAGCCACCCAGGCGCCCCTGATTTTATTTATTTTTAAGTGTTTGTTTATTCTGAAAGAAAGGGCTCGCGGGCACGCCCGTGTGAGCACAAGCAGGAGAGGGGCCGAGAGAGAGAATCTCAAGCAGGCTCCACACTCAGAGCAGTGCCTGACAAAGAGCTCAATCCCATGTCCCTAGGATCATGACCTGAGCCAAACCCAAGAGCCACCCAGGTGTCCTGAGAACATGTGGCTTTAAAATCCTCATGGATGCTCTGTGCTGAAGCCAGATAATCCCTGACTGCAGGTTGGACTCTGAGGGCCCACGCTGAGGTCTGGGACAGGCTCTGTTCCCAGACCTGTGAGACTGAGCCCCTGACGAGCACTGGGCCCTGAGCAGGGCCCTCCGAGCCTCAGCCCATGGACGGCAGCCTCACGGCCTGGGCGTTACACAGGAGATCGGCCTGAGGAGCCAATGCACAGCTGACATTCAGTCATGAAGACCTGAGGAGACAGGGCCTCAGGGTGTTGACTGGCAGCCTGTGTATTTTCTCAAAAAGAGCTTTGGATTTGGCCACGGGCCCCAGAGATCTTCAGTGAATTGTGACCGATGATTCCATCTTTGCTGAATATCAAAGTGGCTTCCCAGCCCTGTAACCATCCCTTTCTCCGTGTGGCTTCAGGCCAAGGAGGGCGCAAGTGAACTGGGGGTGCCCCCCATGGCTGCTTGCCCGCCCTGCTTGTCGCCAGGGCTTCTTGACTCCGGGAAGAATTTGGTTGGTTTGACTGTACCTGGGCTGGGCCCAGAGGCGAGGTTCCCCACCGGCTCCTGGCCTGGCGTGCCATCTGTTTGGTGCCTGCTTGGTGTTGGTCCTTAGCTTAATGCCCTTTCTGACGGGCACACCTGCCCATGCGGGGCCCTAACCAGCCCCAGGACTGGCTGACACCTCCAGTCTAGGGACTGATCTGATGGGTTCCAAGGTTTACCTGGGTTTCTCTCCGCTGCAGTGCCAGGACTTGCTCTCCCAGACATCATCCCCGCTGAGCCAGAATGACTCCTGCACTGGCCGCTCCGCTGACCTGCTGCTGCCTCCTGGGGACACGGGCAGGAGGCGGCATGACAGTCTTCATGACCCTGCGGCATCTTCTCGAGCGGAGCGCTTCAGAATCCAGGTGGGGCAGGAGGGGAGCTGTGAACGGGAGTCCCCAGACCCCTCCACTGCCCCTGTGTCCCAGCGTCAGCAGCAGGAGGAGGACCCCGCCTCCTCCCCCTCAGCCCCACCCAGCCTGTGTCTGGCGTCCAGCCCCGAGACTCCTCGGCTGTGACCACCTGGCTGTGGTCAGCTGCCACTGCGAGGGCCTTTCCTGTATCTAATGTGGCCTCAGAAGTTCAGATCCACTGTCTCCTCTTTGACTACAGCCTCTCTCTTCCAGCCCCTCAGGCTACTGGCCCTGTTTTGCCGCCTCTTGGCCGCTTCTTGGCCCCCTCTTGCTTGTCCTGCCTGTACCCCAGAACTGCTTTCTCCCCTCCTCATCTCCACACCCTGCACCCTGCCTGCCCAGCAGAACTGCAGCCTGGGTCAGACCCTGTTCTTCCTGGTACATTTCTGCAGCCCGGTGTCGGGCGCAGCTGGGAGACACATGTGGCTGTGCCATCTACTCTCACAGACCCACCAGCCGCTGCTGGGCCCTAGGCCGCCCTGAAGCCCTTGCCCTAGGTTGGCCCCATCCTGCACTCCTCGCTCGCATCTGACAGGGCATCGCGTTCAGGGCTCCCGGATGTATTCAGGTCTCACCTGTCCGGCTTCCTGCCTTGCACAGATTCCAGGCTTTGTCTCTTATCCCCCACCTTGGCCTGCTGGTCAAAAGATTGACAGGTGTCCCTCATCCCCTCCACCCCCCCCCCCCCCCACCAGCTAAGATTGAGACGAGTGACTGCTTTCCTCTCTCTCCCTTTTTTTTTAAGGTTTTATGGAGAGAGAGAGAGAGAGAGAGAGAGAAAGAGAACACACAGCAGGGAGGGGCAGAGAGAGAGGGAGAGAGGGAGAATCCCAAGCAGGCTCCGTCTTGCACACAAAACCCGACATTAGACTCACCGATCTGGTGCTGGTGAGATCATGACCTGAGCCGAAATCCAGAGTCGGATACTTAACTGCCTGAGCCACCCGGGCGTCCCTGCTTTTTTTCTCTTGCTCATACTTCTCCTCTCCAGCACCTGCGGATTTCCTTCACCTTTCACCAGCACAGCCATGACTTTGACGAGATTGGAAAAGCATGTTGTCCAAAAGTTTTAGTTGCTCCATATGAGGAGACTTCTGCACAGTGCTGGGAATGGAGGTCATAAATGTTTCCTAAATTTCTTCCCGCCTCCCCACTTCTACCAGTGCCCTGGTAGAAGGACCCCGTCACCTAGCACCTGGATTTCAGTGGCCTCCTACCCTCTCCCCCACCCCAGCTTCCACCTCAGGGAACACTACAGAAGGTCTCCCTAGCACTGGATACTTGCCCACCCCAGAATCACGTGGGGTGATCCCTGACTTGGATGTGAGGCTCCCAGGGACCTGGCTCCTGCTCCCCATCCTTCATGCTTTGTGCTTGTTTTCTCCTCTCTGGTTTTAGTCATTTCCCGTCTCCACCTCAGAGCCTTCCTGACTGAGCCTGCTCTCAGGTGGCTTAGGTCCTGCATCTCTGGCGGGGATGGGCCTCACCTTCGCCACAGTGCCTCTGCATGGTTTGTCTGTCCCCTGCCCTCCCCACCTGCTCTTGAATCCCTTGTAGCTGGCTTCTTTGCCCTTGGGTGGGCTGGAGCTCGCAGAGAGCCCATGAGTTCCTCTGGAGTGGGCAAGCAGACCTGTGACCCTGCGTGTTCTACAGGAAGAGCACCGCGAGGCCAAGCTGACCCTTCGACCCCCCAGCCTGGCTGCCCCCTATGCCCCTGTGCAGAGTTGGCAACACCAGCCGGAGAAACTCATCTTCGAGTCCTGCGGTTATGAAGCTAATGTGAGTTGCCCCTGCTGCCCATCTCTCCTGGCCGGGACCAGGGCTCCAGTGCTGTTCTGTACGTCTCAGACGCCCCCAGCACCTAGGGAGAAGGGGGGCCTCCCAGCTAGGATGGGGGAAGGGAGTTGGGAGAGGAAACCCTTTGGCTTGGTCCCAAATTGGTTGGGTCGCCCTGCATGATAACACAGGACTTCCTAAGCCCGGTTACTGCCTGCTCCTTCAGTATCTGGGCTCCATGTTGATCAAAGATCTTCGAGGGACAGAATCCACCCAAGACGCCTGTGCCAAGATGCGGGTAGGTTGTCCGGGGGGGGGGGGGG